CTTTTGTTATTCTTCATATTATACTTTTTATATTTTATTTTATATATTTTAAATCATTTTTCATTTTTGCACAATACATGCTTTTTCATCTTGCTTATACTCCCCATACAATTCCCAGTCCCCTTATTTTGACCCTAATCCCTCCTACCTGCCCTCTTCCATCCCCTCCCCCCACATAGTGTGTCTTTGGATCATAGTTGCTTGTTGATTTTGGTTTTTACTTTATTATAATTAGTATTTCCCCTGGTCCTATATTTAGGTTTTCTAAACTCCTGCTATGAGTGAGATCATTGGGTATTTTTCTTTTTCTTTCTGGCTTGTTTTGCTGAACATGATCCCTTCCAGCTCCATCCATGTGTCTGCAAATTGCATGAGTTTATCTTTTTTAGATTGCTAAGTAATATTCCAGTGTATATGTACCACATCTTCTTGATCCAGTCATCTATTTTTGGGCATTTAGGTTGTTTCCAGGTTTTACCTTTTGTAAATAGTGCTGCAGTAACCATAGGGGTACAGGTGTCCTTTAGAATTAATATTTTTGTGTTCTTTGGGTAGATCCCTAGGAATGGAATTGCTGAATCATATGGAAGCCCCATTTTTACCAGATTGAGGAACCTCCACACAGCTTTCCATAGTGGTTGGATCAATTTGCACTCCCACCAGCATTTCAGGAGAGTTCCTTTTTCACCACATCCTTGTCAACATTTGTCATTACTAGTTATTTAATATGTGCCATTCTCATTGGGATCAGATGCACTCTCGTGGTTTTGATTTGCATTTCTCTGATTACAAGTGATGTTGAACATTTTTTCATATGCCTGTTGGCTATTTGCATTTCCTCTTTTTAAAAAGATTTATTTATTTATACAAGAACTGTGGTACAGGCCAGAGGCTGGGGAAGGTGAGAAGATTCACCAGACGGAGCGGGGAGCAGAACAGGCAGAGGGACTGAAAGCACTGCTGAGGGGAGCAGTGGGTGAGACAGGAGAGGTCTGCTGTGCCATATGGGTATCTCCCTGGCCGTCCGGGAATCAAAACTGTTTTGCAGAGGCTGCAGACAGCTTCACAACTCTGCACTTAACCCCCTGTACCACAAGGGAGGCCCTGCATTTTCTTTTTTGCAGAAATTTCTTTTTAGCTCTTCTGCCCATTTTTAAAATTTTTTTTAAAGTTCTTTTGTTTTTCTAAGATTGATTGATTTATTTATACAAGCACTGGGTACAGTCAGAAGTGCGGGAGGGTGAGAGAATTCACCAGAGCCAGAGCGGGGAGCAGAACAGGCAGAGGACCGAAGTACACTGCTGAGGGGAGCAGCGGGCATGGCAGGAGAGGTCTGCGTGCCACATGGGACGCTCGCCTGCAGCCGGGGATCGAACAGGCGCTGCAGAGGCTGTGGGCAGCTTTGCAGCCCAGCACTCAACCACTGCACCACAAGGGAGGCCCTTCTGCCCATTTTTTGACTGAGCTATTTACTTTGTTTTTGTTGAGTCTCATAAGCTCTTGTGGATTTTTTGTGATCAGTCCCTTATCATTAGTATTGTGTGCAAAAATGTTCTTTCAATCAGTGGGGTGTCTCTTTGTTTTGGTTAATATCTCTTTCACTGTACAGAAGCTTTTTAATTTGATGTATTCCCAGCTGTGTATCCATTTCTTTACTATCTTTGCTTTGGGTGATGTGTCTTTAAAGATGTTACTGAGGTGTATGTCATGTACTGTTAACCCTATATTTTCTCTGTATTTTATGGTTTCAGTTCTTATGTCTAGTTCTTTAATCCATTTTTTAAAAAATATTTATTTATTTATTTATTTATTTATCTATCTATCTATCTATTTATTTATTTATTTATACAAGCACTGGGTACAGTCAGACGCACAGGAGGGTGAGAGAATTCACCAGAGCCAGAGCAGGGAACAGAACAGGCAGGCTGATGAAATGCACTGCTGAGCAGAGCATCAGATGCAGCAGGAGAGGTCTGTCACACCATATGGGACCCTCGCCAGCGGCCAGGGATCGAACCGGCACTGCAGAGGCTGCGGGCAGCTTTGTAGCCCTGCGCTCAACCACTGCACCACAAGGAGAGACCCTCTTTAATCCATTTTGAGTTAATTTTTGTGGATGGTGTGAGGTAGTCAGTCAAAGTCTTTTGCATGTAGCAGCCCATTTTTCACAGCACCATTTATTGAACAAACTTTCATTGCCCCATTACATATTCTTTGCTCCTTTGTCAAAGATTAGTTGACCATAAATCTGTGAGTTTATTTCTAGTTTTTCTATTTGGTTCCATTGGTCTGGGTGTCGCTCTTGATCCAGTACCATGCAGTTTTGATTATTATGGCTTTGTAGTATAGTTTGAATTCTGGAAGTGTGATACCTCCAGTCCCCCCCACTTTTTTTTTTCCAGGAGAGCTTTGTGGCTATTCGTGGTTTTTGCTAGCTCCATATGAATTATGTCAGTAGTTGTTCTATTTCTTTGAAGAAAGCTATTGAAATTTTTATTGGAATAGCATTGAATCTGTAAATTGCTTTTGGTAGGATGATCATTATAATAATGATAATTTTTCCAATCCATGAGCAGGGGGTGTCTTTCCATTTCTTTGTGTCTTCTTTAATTTCTTTTAACAATGTTTTATAGTTTTCTTTGTATAGGTCCTTTACCTATTTTGTTAAGTTCATTCCCAAGTATTTGATTTTTTTTTTCAATTATATAAGGGATGGTCCACTTTATTTCTTCTTCTTCAGATTTATTTTTTGTATATAGGAAAGCTACCAATTTTTGTGTTTTGAATTATTTATGTATACAACAGCTGGGGTACAAGTAAAGCTGCCCGGTGTGGGGCACTGTGAGAGGATTTTAAATCTGTTCATCTCTATTTTCTGTTGATTTTGGGATATTTGGTATGAGACTACCTACAGAATAGGTAGATTGACTGAAACACACTGCTGGGGGAGCAGTGGACGAAATGACAGCAGAAGTCTGCTGCGTCATGTGGGTCACCACCCTGGCCAGAGATCAAACTTGTGCTGCAGTGGCTGTGGATAGCATCATAGTGCTGATACTTAACCCCTTGTGCTCCCAGGAAGGCTCTTCATGTGATTTTTAGTTATTTTATAATTTGTCATGAACAAATGCTTACTGACTAATGCCTACTTTTTATTTTGTGTTCTCATTAATTTCCAAGATAGCTTTCATTTTTGATGAATTGTTTTCATATCTCCATGGTTTCCTTATTTCCTTATCTCCCCTCTTTATAGCATTTTTTTTTTTAAGATTTATTTATTTATTTATTTATATTTATTTATTTATTTATACAAGCACTGGGTACAGTCAGAAGTGCGGGAGGGTGAGAGAATTCATCAGAGCCAGAGCAGAGAGTAGAACAGGCAGAGTGATGTAGTACACTGCTGAGGGGAGCAGCGGGCGGCAGGAGAGGTCTGTGTGCCATGTGGGACCCTCCTCCGGTGGCCGGGGAGCAGCGGGGGATCGAACTGGCGCTGCAGAGGCTGTGGGCAGCTTCGCAACCCAGCGCTCAACTGCTGCGCCACCGGGGAGGCCCTTTATAGCATTCTTTTGTGACATCCATTAATTGGTCAATACAGTGAGCTTGAGAATCTTAGAGAGCTTTATATAACCCATTATCCATCACTGAACCTTCAAACCCATTGTCATATTCTTTCATCTGTATTTTAACTTTAGCCTTATTTCCCTTGAATTTATATTGTTGTGTGCTGATTCTACTAATCTTCAACAATTAGTTTTCCTCCTACTTCATTTGATTTCTCCTGCAACCTTCACCCATTTTCTATAACTTTACCTTAGTGGAGATAATGCTTTGCCATAAAATTAAGAACTATATGGTCAGTTGACCCTGGTTCTAATCTCTGTTTTGTCTTGTTACTAGTTGTATAATCTTGGAAAGTTAATATTTTTAAGTTTTAAGTACTCAGTTTCCTTAATTATAACAAACAACTCTCTGGTGGTGTTGTGAGATTTTGAGACGTGCATAGCACTGCCCTTGGCACAGAAGCCACACATAGATGACCCATTATCCATAACCCTTCAGTTAGATGCATTTTCACAATAGAGAATTTTGTGAATTTTAAAAGGTGTGCTTATTCTGTATGTCATATAAGATATCTGGCAGGCTATAACTCAACATTCCTAAACAAATTAGTATTTCTGCAGGAAAATTTTTCTTTATTATGTTTTATATGTAAATATAAACCTCTCATAATTACTCACCCATCAATTAGTTGATGCCACCAAATGAGTTATGAAATAAACTCATTTTTCAGAACTTTTGTGGATGGAGATTGATTGGGATTATGGAAAAATCTGCATTTTCCTATTGTGTACTAAAAATTATTCTCTTATTTTTCTGAGTGTTTTCAATATTTCCTAATTGTGAGGCCATAGATAATTTTTCATACCTCCAATACCACAAATTATTTCCTTCTTCAAGTACTCTGGCCAGTTCACTCAAATTTTCTTTCCAGGAATGAAGGAAGGAAATTAGCTAGAGCTCCTTTAGTAGAAGTCTTCTCATTGGATCTGGAAAAATCAGATAACATTGAGAATTACTTTACCTTTTCTATTGAATTTGTTAAATGTGAAGTATATAATAAAAAGTAGAGTGAAAAGGACACTAAAATCATTAGTCTCCATTTCTTTCTTGGTAAAAAAAACTGTGTCCTCCTAAATATTTCAATTTAGTAGATACTTAAATAAGAATTGTATATAAATGTAATATACTAGCAATTTTAGACAGTATATTTTATTGTTTTATATAAATTATTATGTTTTTAGAGAAATGTGTATTGACTGGTTGGCATTTAATTTTTCCTCAAATTAAGAGAACATCTAGACATTTTAAATCTGTTCATCTCTATTTTCTGTTGATTTTGGGATATTTGGTATGAGACTAAAATTTATAATTGAATCATAGTTTGGTAATTCAATTATTATTCAGAATTGATCCTAGTGTTTATCTATTTATTTTAGTGTCCTACTGAAACCAAAGCAACATTTGGGGTCCATCTTAAAATAGTAGGAGACTGGACAGGTATGTATACCATATAGTTTTAAGATATATACTTTGAAAATAATTAGTGATAAAGTAATATATATACTTGTAGTGGAATTACCACAATGCATGGATATGTACATATGTTCTCAAGGTGTTTTGTTCTCTATCTTTGTACTCTTTTGGCATTCATGTTTTATTCTTTTGTGATATATTTTTGGAATTGGAATTCCTTGAATAATGGTAATTATTAATAATGTATTGTTCACCATGCTGACAAATCACAGGTTTCTGCCTACTTGTCAGATGAGAATGTTTTTTAGAATACATGATTTTAGAACTAATCATTGGTTTTATTCTTAAAATTGACTAATTGACACATAGTTATGAGATAACATAAATCATCCAGTTTGCATATTTCATCTCATGGCATTGTTTGTATAAATAGCTTCTGCACAGCCTCTATTTAGAATAGTGGTCATTTTCATTAGCAGAACTATTGGTGTCATTTTGTTAACTTACTCAATAAATACCTTTTTATTATCTGAGAGCTACATCATATTAATAGTTCTCAGTAAATAAACATTATCTATGTTATATCCCCAGTCCCAACAGGAAGAATGACAAATGAATGCTCAATAAACGTTGGTTTGTTGACTGGTTGTTTAGGTTGGGTACTCAAAGGAAAAGGTGCATGTATAAACATGAATGTAATGATAAGTAATATATTTTTAACTGAATGATATACCAAGAATGGTTTATGGAAACTACAGAGAGTCATAAAAAAGACAGATTAGAATTTATATTCTGCTCAAAATCTACATTAATTGAGTAAGAATTATAGCAATATAGTAATCCCAATACAGTAAGAATTAACTTCAGTAATTAATGGTAATCGATAGAATTTTATATCTAAATGGAACTAGCCCCAGAAAGATGTAATTTTATTTATCAAGGTAGCAGAAACTTCATGATAGCATATTACTTGCTATTGTTCCTGGATTTCTTCACAGTTGTTTTCATTGTCTGTAGCTCATTAAAATAAATGATTGCACCATTGCTTATTTTAAACTTTATTGCACTTAAAACATTTAACTAGTTTTAGGACCTCCCTGGTGGCACAAGGGCTTAAGTCTCAGCACTATGAAGCTATCCACAGCCACTGCAGCAGGACTTAGGTCCCAGGCTAGGAAATTAAGCCACCTGGCACAGCAGACCTCTCCTGTCTTGTCTTGCCCACTGCTCCCCTCAGCAGTGTATTTCAGTCAGCCTGCCTGTTCTGTTCCCCACTCTGTCTCTGCTGGATCCTCTCACCCCTCACACCTCTGGTCTTTACCTCAGTTTTTGTGTGCATAAATAAATAAATCTTAAAAAAAAAAAAACAAAACACTTACTAGTTTTAATTTTACCCTCTTTTCTTTTGTACTATGCCTTGAAGGATAAATAAGATCATTCTGTTTAGTGAATTCAGTTCCATTCAGATGCTTTTCATTAATAGACCTTCTTGGTTGTTGACTTTAAATATTTTTGGAGTTGGAAATAAATGTTAAATTGTCATGCTATAGGGCCTCCCCGGTGGCGCAGCGGTTGAGCACTGGGTTGCAAAGCTGCCCGTGGCCTCTGCGGCGCAGGTTCGATCCCCGGCTGCTCCCCTGCCACCGGAGGGTCCCACATGGCGCGCAGACCTCTCCTGCCGCCCACTGCTCCCCTCAGCAGTGTACTTCGGTCCTTCTGCCTGCTCTGCTCCCCGCTCTGGCTCTGGTGAATTCTCTCACCCTCCCGAGTTTCTGACTGTACCCAGTGCATGTATAAACAAACAAACAAACAAACAAATAAATAAATAAAATACGTGCCTCTTTAATAAAAAAAAATAAATTGTCATGCTATAAAAACCCAAAATAAGTCCATCCCTATTTGACACTATTATTTTTCTAAGTTTTAATTTTCTTAAACAAGGGAGTTACAATTATGGAAAGAAAAATGGATGCATTACTTCTAAAATAAAGGATCCTGGGTTTTATTATTAAAGAGATAATTAAAACTCAATATTAAGGGCCTCCCCGGTGGTGCAGGGGTTGAGCGCTGGGTTGCGAAGCTGCCCGCGGCCTCTGCGGCGCTGGTTCGATCCCTGGCTCCCACATGGTGGGCAGACCTCTCCTGCCGCCCGCTGCTCCCCTCAGCAGTGTACTTCGGTCCTTCTGCCTGCTCTGCTTCCTGCTCTGGCTCTGGTGAATCTCTTACCCTCCCACGCTTCTGAGTGTACCCAGTGCATGTATAAACAAAACAAACAAACAAATAAAATAAATAAATAAATAAATAATACATGCCTCTATAAAAAAAAAAAAAACTATTAAAACTCAGTATTAAAAGCTGTAGATAAAGGAAATGCCCAAGAGGTGTTTAACAAGTTGAATATCAGAATTTTAATTTTCTAAACTAACTAACATTTTATAGTGATTTTTCCTTCTCTGAAATATGTTCACCTGCACAGATATTGTTGTCTAACCTTTTAATTTACTGAGGCCTCTTTTTTTTGCATCTCCTAAGCATGTGAAAGACTCTTTAAGTTTAGAAAACTCTTAAAAGCTCTTAAACACAATTCATGTGTTGAAATGATGCTGGTACTACAGGGTGTAAAAAATGAATTACAAAAGTAGATTCCCCTTTGAATTGAATTAATTTTATGCCACTTCTAGAATAAGTTATGCTTTCTAACTTCAAAAATTTGGTCACTGACTGCCTATTGGTTTGATTTTCATTCTGTCTGGAAATGTCTTATTAATTTATTCATAGATATCATTACTGTTGAATAATGTCTGATCATGTTACTCTGTTGGTCATTTTCTTGTTTTACATAGCAACTAGTTCCAGAGGTCCAATTTTTACTACAAAAGCATTATATACATAATGTATACAAGCAATTAATTTAAAAATTTGACATTTTTTTTCTTTTAATAATTAATGGATAATATGTCTTATACAACATCTTTTCCTTGAATCTTGGATGTTAATGTCCATGAGTTTTAATAATTTATTATAGTCATAACAAATGTTTTCCTTTATCATTGAAAGCAAAATAGAGCCAATAGAATTGATTTGCCTTAATCACTTAATAAACACTGTGAATACAACATAGGATATTACATTACAAGTGATCTTGGATAGAGCTTTAATTAAAAACTACACCAAAAATGAGGCGATAACTCTATTATTAATGTATTAGCTTCACATATCTCATACTTTATCTTGTAAAATGCACATGAAAAGATTAATATAAAATATGGGTAAGATATTTAAAGTTTTTTTTTTTGTTTTGTTTTTGGGAAACAGTATATCAGAAAATGATCACACTCAATTATAACAATGTTATTCATTTATATGCAAAGAAGCTCAAGCAGCAGATATGAAACAGTAATAAAAGCTCTCCCAAAAAACAAAAGCCCAGAACTACATGGTTTCACAAATGAGTTCTACTAACTATTCAGAGATGAAATGGTTCCTATCCTACAAAACTTTTTCAAAATATGAGAAAGAAGGAATACTGTTAAATACATTTTATGAACCCAACATTACACTAATATCAAAATAAAACAAAGAAAACTGCAGACCACACTCCCTAATGAACACACAAGCAAAAACTCTCAATAAAATTTTATCAATTCAACAATGCATCAAAGGACATCACAACCAAGTGGGATTTATTCCAGAGATCTAAAGATGATTTAACACCTGAAAATCAAGTAATATAATTCAACACATCAACAAAAAGAAAAATAAAAAATGTGATCATATCAATGGATATTGAGAAAATATCAGTATTTGATTATGATGAAGCCCCTTGAAATTTTGGGGATAAAAGGGACATACCTTAACATAAAGTCATATATGACAAACCCAAGCTAACATCATTCTTAATGGTGAAAACTGAAAGCTTTCCCTGGAACAAGACAATGATGTCTGCTCTAAACACTGCTTTTTCAATATAATACTGGAAGTCCTAGCTAGAGCAGTTAAGCAAGAGAGAGACATAAAATGAATCTAAATAAGGAAAGAAAAAGTAAAACTATTATTATTTGCATATGATATAATGATACATAGCAAAAACCCTAAAAAATCCAGAGAAAATAATTGTAACAATAAAATAGTTTAGTGAATTAGCAGCTTACAAAATCAATGCACAAAAATCAGTAGACTTCCTATATGCAAACAATTAGCTGAGCCAGGAAAACATTAAGAAAGCCTCCCATTAGAAGGGACTAGGATCAAAATAAGGGAGGTGGGAATTTTACAGGGACGATAACCAAGATGAAAATGCATACATTGTACAAAAATGAAAAATGATGTAAAAACTACATAAAATAAAAATGAAAAAAAGAAAGAGGAAAAAAAAAAAGAAAGAAAAGAAAGCCTCCCATTTACAATTGTACCAAAAAATTAAGTACCAGGGAATAAACCTAACAAAGGAGGTGAACGACATATTGTCCCAAAACAGATGATTGAATCAAGAAGATGTGGTATATTTACACATGGAATTTTATCAGTGATCAAAAAAGATAAATTTATACCATTTGCAGCAACATAGTTGAACCTGAAGGGATTATCTAAGTGAAATAAGTCAGAAGGAAAAAGAAAAATATAAGTGATTTTACTTATAGGTGGAATATAAGGAAAATGAACAGAGAGTCAGGAAAGACAAAACTCACAGGCAAACCATGGATCTGAGGCATACAGCAGAGAAGAGGGAGGGAGTAGGATCAAAACTGGGGAAAGAAGAACACAAGGACTATGGTTATTGTTTACAGGAGCTGTGGTGATAAAAGAATTATGGGGAATATGCTTGAAGGGAGAAATCGATTATTGTACAGAAATGAACAATGATGTACTAAAATGAAAAAATAAATAAAAAACTAATATTATTTTTATAATAATATATTTTGGATTAATTATGGCACCAGCCTTCTAACCTGTGTGTGTGTGTGTGAGAGAGAGAGAGAGAGAGAGAGAGAGAGAGAGAGAGATCCAAAATAAACTTGAGTAGG